AAAAAAAAATAGTTTTACCTTGTATGGAATGTGCATAATAAGTTAAACTATTTGCAACATAAGAAAGGGAGTGTTCGAAAAGTAAAGAGGAACAATGCCTCATATGGTAAGTATAAATCCAAAGCAAGGAGAAGAGCTTTAAAATAATTTGAACCACTTGCTTTCAGTCAGCATCCACAATAACATTATTAAGAGAAAGCTTCTAACAAAGTAGAAGGCCGTCACACAAAGAATGTAATTATAAATTCATAGTCAAACTTTTATCATTTTACTTATGCTACTTGTGTCAAGAGAAGGTAAACAACGTAAAATATAATTATATATTCAATTAGACATTTGTCTGTTTTGAAATCTTGTTATGCGTAACAACATTATATATTCAATTTCAAAAAATATAATTATAAATTCATTTTTCTAAAATAAATGACAAGTAAGCTTTATAAATTTTCTTAATGACATAATTTCAATGTATTCAACTTTTTCTTCCAATTCATATTTTATTACAATTTTCTACTCTTTGTCACTATCAATACTTATAAATTTTACAAGTTATGTAACTTTTTCACTTATAATTTTTTTGGGTTAATTTATTACTAAGCTTATACTTCATATGTTTTTGAACAATTTTTCACTAGCATATTACTTGTATTATTCATATTTTCTCTCATATGTCCTTTTGGATTTTTTTAATACAAAAATAACCCTACAACAACCAAAATAAAAATAATTTTCAAAAACCTAAGAAAAATAGAAACTTAATTTTCAAAAATATTAAGAAATGGAAAATATAATAAAAATCTGCATAAAAACATTAAAAAACCTAGAAAAAGGTAATTAAACTTTAAAAATACAAGGGAAAAAAAACCATGATCGTAAATACTTGTAAATTCTAAACTTGTTTATAAAAACGAACCATGTTTTGTAGGACAAGGGTTTTTTTAATTTTTTCATTATATTTTATATATTTTTTCTATGGGTTATTCAATTATTTTGGGAAGCTCCAAGTTTTTTTTTACTTTTTTAGGTTTTTCAATTTTAAAATTTCTAGGTATCTCAAGCTTGGTTAATTTTTTAAAATTAATTTTTATTTTGGCAGTTTAAGGGTATTTTTATCTAAAAACTAGCAAAAAGATATATTGACGAAAATATAAATATACAAGAGGGAGTGAGAAATTCTTAAAAAGATACGTGGGAGAATATTATCAATATAAAAGGGTAGATAAATACATCATGTTTGGAAAACTTTACATGTTACGTAATATTTTACATACAATTTCCTTTTACTTTTAGCCAAACATGTTTTTTTAAAAAATATATATTAAAAAGATTAAAGCTCTCATTTAACACTGTGCGATTATTCTATAATTGTAAATTCATTCTTGTTACGATTCTTAAAAAAAAAAAAAGTTTAGAGTTCCTCATTATACTTACGATATTAAAACTTTTTTAAAAATATATATCTACAAGCATCGATAAGTTTTTGTCTAAATTTTTATAGTAAATTTTGTTTGAGTTAGCTCGAGATTTAGATTTATAGTAATGGTATAATATACAAAATATAAAATACAAGCATAACCTATTTATAAGGGAGAAGAATTAGAAACTTATAAAATTACTTGAAATATATCTCCTGCAAACAAAATAAATAAATAAAAGAGATGAAAAACAATTAATCTTAGTTTTAATACATGGAAAAATATTAAGAACTTTACTGATCATGTTTTGTTTTTATTATTATATATGAAATTTTAAAAAAAATTATTTAAAACTAAAATTGAAATCAGATAAGATTAATGATTAGATGAATGCACTAATTTGTATGTGGATGGTTTTAAGAATGCACTAATTTCTATTTAAAATCAAATGGAAAAAATTATTTGAGAATATTCTTAAGTTTATTGTTAATATCAAAGAAAAAAATGTAAGTTAAAAATGAAAATGTAAATTAAGAAAATTAAGAAAAATTGAGATTTGAAAAGTTGAATAATTACTTAGCTATAGAAACATTGCGTAAGAGTCTCATTTTGGCTAGCGCCCTTTCTCCCTATTAGTATGCCTGATTTCTCCTTCTAAGAGGATCATTCATGGAAACAAAGTTCCTAATGCAAACTAAAAGGTATAAATAGCTTTATACCAAGACAGTGGGCTACATAATTCAGGAGCCCATCTAATTGGGCTTTTCCAAGTTACCTTTACAATTACGAACGACTTGTTGTTGGATCATCCTTATCTCTACCGACTTGTCAAACCATTCGGGTAAGCCCTCCCAAACTTAAGCCTTTAAAGAAATTTTAAAATATTCAATGAGTAACTAACAAGAATTACTTCGTAGATCTATTTTGAACAGAGAGATAAATAAATACAAAATAGAGAAAAAACTACATTCTAAGTCACTAAAGTGATAAAAATATTTCTATTTAGGCTCAAATAAATTTTTGAATCACACTACACCACGAGGTTGGATAAAATATATAAAATTATTTATAAGAATTATTTCAGTTTAATAATCTGTTTTATGGTATGAATCCATAATAATATATGAAATCAAAGATAAAAAAATAACTATAATTTTTTAATAAAAAAATTATATTTAATTATTTCTTATTTGTGTTTTTCATATCTTTTTTCTTTACAAAAAGAATTTATCTCTCGTTACTCCATGGATTATTAACTAAAAATAAAATTAAATATTTTTTTTAAAAAAAGCTTTAGTATTTTATAAGATTGTGTCGAAAAACAAAAATAACAATTACTAAAAGCTTACATAGAATTGAACAAATATTTTATTTTTTTATTTCATGTTGATGAAAATATCGATTTTTGAAAAAAATATAAATTTAATTTTTATTAATTAGATGAATAATATTAAAATAAATCATAACTATGAATAAATATAATTTTAAATTAATTGGATGATAATTTTAAAGAAATGACAAATTAATGAAAATAGTAATAAATGACAAACTATGAGCAATAAAATTCTTTATCATAATAATTAATTAATTAATTATATTATGTGATAGTAATATTTTATATAATATGCATGTGCTTATAAAAAAAATTATTTTTCAAATTAGATATTTTAAACTTTAGAAATAAATAATAAAGGAAATAAATTGTTAGTTCCTTTAAAATTTTAGCATCCAATTAATTGTTGATTCCTTTAAAATTTTAACACCCAACATTATTCGAAACGGAAATTAAAAGAAAAAAACCATTCACTTTTCAGAAATAAAAATAAAAAAATGATCACATCAAAAGAAAAATTAGATATTTTAAATTTTAGAAATAAATAATAAGAAAATAAATTGTTGGTTTCTTGAAAATTTTAAAACCCACTTAATTGTTGTTTCCTTTAAACTTTTAACACCCAACATTATCAAGAAACAGAAATTAAAAAAAAAAAAAATCAATGTTTAGGAGAAAAAAAATGGACTAATCGTAAACGGAACAAAAAAAGGAGAGAAAAGGCAGAGTGCGCTAGCCCAAAAAAAAAAACTAAAACATAGTAATAAATAGTGTTAATCACTGTTCATTGCTATAAGAAAAACCCATTTTACTTTAGTTTATAGTATAATTTTATTGTTATTATTTTAATTTTCTATCTCTTATTTCTCTTTTCTCTTTGTATTTTTTTTTATAAAGTATTGCATTTGAATACTCTTCAAATAATATAAATTTTTATGAAATCTTAAAATACCCTCATTTCTCTAATTCTAATCTCAAATTTGCTATGAAAAAACCCTAAAACTCTTCAATATTATCACTTTCTTTGAGCTATTTTATGGTAAAAAGCTATAGATTTCATATGCCACTTTGTGAGCTTTTGCTCTTAAAAAGTGTAATAAACAATCAACAATTTGATTGCCAGTTTTTATCTTCTCTACCCACCAATTAAGCCTTTTGTTCATCTAAATCTTTTTATTTTTTGATTTTGAGAAATGGGTTATGATTAGTTTTGTTGGTTCTTATAAGAATATATATACATTCAGAAGATACCAAAGTTAGTCACTTTTTTTTTTTTTTTGTATTTGTGTTGTTAGAATTTACGAAAACCTAATAAAATAACTTAATTTCAAATAAACTATAATTATATAAAGATTCAGTCTAAAATTAAAAGTTGAGAAATTGATTTTTAAATAATTTAAAATTTAGGTGATGTTTGAACTTTAGCTTAAATATTATTCACTTTCGTTCAACAAAAATAAATACTGCAAATGTCAAACTGCCTTCCGAATTATAACAAAAATTTCAATGGAATCCCTAAAGTCTCTTAAAAAAAAAAAAAAAACATCAAGCTCCCAACAAAACAATATTTTTTTTTTATGCATAAATATGCGATTCGGATGAAACTTGCTTATGAAGATAGATGGTAGGACTCAATTGAAACTTTTCCAAATCTATATTTCAAAACCCTGCAACCATGATTTCACAAACTTATCATCCACACCCCTCAAATCTATATTTCTATTAAACTCTATCAATTTATTTCTCTTTGTTTGGAAAAATTATCTTATAAAAACCAAAGAGTATGGCAAAACTTGTGTTGCTAGATGCCAAGAAAACACCTTGCTTCTCAAATCTAAAAATAACAGTCTTAATATGAAAATTTAGATTAATGGATTATAAATTTATTTTATATATAAATACCTTTTCTTTAATGAGTAATGATTACCACTCTGGATTTTTCATGAGATGAAATTAGTGACGCCTTTCATCAACCAAGCCAAAGCGGTACCAGGCAGTCAAAATTGCTAGAAATGTTGATCATTCAGCCAAACCATTTCTTGAAAAAGTTCAGATACTTTGTTACCATGTTCTTGGATGCATCGTCAAGATATTTAGGAGCCCTTTACAGTCATGGACATTTTATGAGGCATTCCATATTTCCATCGAAGATTTGCAATGCCATCCCCGTACAGTCATTCTTGCATGCATGTCAAGCTAGCATAGCAGTTCCAATTTGAATATCCCATTCGATGGCCTTATCATCAATGTGCTCAGAACCCATCTCCTATAATCAAGAGTTCCAAGACTGGCACAGGCAGAATGTGCGCCTGAGCTTTGCGTATCGAGAAGCAACTCCGAAGCCTCCTGAGGATAATTACATGTTAAGTTACAGAGATTGATGTGTATGAAGATTCGTAGTATAAATTGTTATATGGATCCAACATAACACCTTTACGGGAGCCTTGAAGGCGGAGCTCTCGAAAAGTTTGCAAAATGTTGGATCAAATGTATAGGCCCGTTAAGTTTTTTTTCTTATAACGCTAGTTATTCACATTATAAATAAAGATAACTTCACTTGTATTTGTAATTATTATTGAACAAAACGTAATAAGAAATCTTAATACAACCGTAGAAGAGGCACCATTGCCAAACTATATAAAAATTTTATATTATATGATTGTTTTTGTCTTTCTATTTTATTCTTTTTCTTGATTCGGTTTCTATCATTACATTGCACCAATCTGCTATCTGCCCGCTTATAATCTTGGCCCGAGAAACAATAACCTTCTCTGGAAGTGGAAGCTCATCAAATACTTCTTTTGCTCGAGGCAAATACTCCACTTAACATACATAGCCTCGAGAGCATTGCTAACCTCCAAACCCATCCCAAATGCACGCTTGAAAATCAAGCCATGAATCAGAGAATCGTACCCCAGACGATGCATTCTGGAAGAGTGGATAAAGAGAAACCTTGAGTCTCAAGCAACAGGAACAAGTGCAAAACAGAAAGGATTAACAACTTCAGATATTATTAATCAGTGAAACCTGCAGAAGCATTGTGACAGGAAAATGGAAAAAACAGAGAAAATGGGATCTTCGAAATTGAATGCACAAGGTTGGACCAGGTTGATTTATTGGGGCTGACGCAGATAAGTAACAGAGCAAGGTGCTTTATAAGTTAGCTGGTGAATGCTTTGATGAAGCTCAAGCATCCTAAAACAGAGGAAATTCTCCTTGCTAGGGTAGAATATATGGTCTAAGGGTGAAGTTTGACAGAGAACCTGCATTTTCACCTAAGCAAAGCAATGCAAAAGGCTTAGATATATTTGGTTGATCCTTTTTTGTACGACAGAACTCGTTGGCACCATGGTTTTAAAAAACGGCCGTTACGTCGCGTAACGGCCGTTATATAACGGTAACGAAGGAACCCATTACCGTTTTTCGGCGTTATAAAAACCTAAATGCCGTTTCACGCCTATAACGGTAGATAACGGCGTTACCGTTATGCAACGCCGTTATTAGCCGTTATATAACGGCATTATATATAAAAAATTTAAATTGTTGAAAAAAAAACCTGAAATGCAATTGGATATTTTTTTTATCTTCTTTTACTTTCTTTCTCCCACAATTACTAATGAAAAGGAGGGATTTTTTTGTCTTCTTTTGCTTTATTTCTCTCGTAATTATTAATGAAAAGAGGGAATTTGTTTTGCCTTCTTTTGCTTTCTTTCTCCTGCAATTACTGAAATTATAATGTATTTTATTATTTTTTATGTGATATTAATCTATTGGAATTGTTATTAATTACTTTTTATAATAAATTTAACTATTGTTATATATTATTAAACTATTAGAGATATGATTACTTATTATTATGTTTAATTAGTAAAACTCGTCAAAAAATGTGAATTAGAATAAATTTATTGTCGATTGCTAATGTATTCACACAATTAATCGCCGCGACCGTTATTTTACGACCGCGATGAGCCGCGACCCGCGATCGCGATCACAACCGTTTTTTCAACAACGACCGCTATTTAAAACTATGGTTGGCACTTCAATTCTTAGAAGGGAAAGACGAAAAAAAAAAGAACCTAAACAAATAAAATTAATTAATTGTAGTAAAAACGATAAAACAATAGAGAAAAATTCATCATTTCTTCGAATTGATCTCCTTTAAGCCAAAATGTCCTCTGTATATTAGACAGCAAATGCATGGACTAGGAAATTGGACATTTTATGACATGACTGATAATTGGCCTCCCTTCCTCCTCATCAAATCTTTTTTTCTTTCGTTTAACGCTCCCAACTCTCTTTCTCGGTTTCTCTATGAATTTTTTTTCCAACAAATCTATTTTCAAAATCAATTGAAAGTAAGTTTTTAATAAATAATTTTAAAGATTCATCCATCATATCAGCTTGATGTATTAAAAAAGAAATTAATAAATCCTATTAGATACTAACCCAAAATTCAATCCTAAATAATTAAAGAATAAAACAATTCTTTTTAACCACCAAACCACCTCCTTAAGCGAAAAGCGAAGATGTGTCTCTCTTGGACAAAAAATAAGGTAAGGTTCGGTCTTAACATAATCCCTTCCCCATAATGGAAGGGCAAACTTGTCCTTTGAAAAATACCTAGAGACAAATAACCAATGAAAACTTCCCACGTCGAATCCCACCATTTCAGTAGAAATGGCTACAGTGTTCCACATATGTAGGGGGCACGAAGTGGATGGTGCAAGAACGACTATGATGACAGTAAAAGAAATCTGAAGTGAACGTTATTCAGGGAATCTTGCAATCTCTGTAGAAAAAATCATTCCAAATTCACTAAAAATATTCTTAGTCCATTTGATTAATGGAAACCAACAGGCCACCACATTCAAGTACTGGGTCTCACAAATCTAAGAAACCAGGTTTTTCTGATAATCAATTCCAAAAGCCAATGTGAGCAGTGGCTTTCAGAAAAAAGATTTGAATACTAAATATATGGACCTTAGTGATGAGTAGATAGGTGTTACAGTTCTTTTTTTCTGGGAGCATATTCACCTCTTTACAGAGCAGATATATGAACAATGCAAGGTGATAACAAAGAAATACTGCCCACCCACCATATTCCATCTCCAGTCTACCAGACACCGCCATCAAATGACGACAAAGCTAGCTAGTCCTCATAAGCAAGAGGATATAACAATATAACTAAGAACAAAAGTTCAGTGAGTAGTTAGAGCCACTGCCATTTCTCAGCTTGCAATGTCCTATTTGAAAACTTCCCAGGCAATGGTTGAGGAAAATACTCATGGAAACTAAATGGTGCTGCTACAGTTACCTAGTTCATGAGCAACTGCTTCCATAGATGGTCTTTCGATAGGAGATTCGTGAGTGCAAAGCCAAGCAATTCTGGCAAGCTTAGCTGCTTCGTATTCAAAGAATCTGTCATGGAGATTGGGGTCGATATAATCTTGGAATCTGCATGCATCTGCTCCAAGACGTACCAAGTTAGTCACTTTTCGCTTCCCTGAAAGAACTTGGAAAATGATCACTCCAAATGCATAGACATCACTTTTGTCTGTGAACCGGCCTGTGGTAGTGTACTCAGGAGCTAGGTACCCCATGGCAGCACTGGTCTTGAGTGCTGAGAACACAATGTCATTTGTAAGAAGGTTCTGCAAGCCAGAATCTGCGAGCAACAGATTGCATCGCTGGTCGACGAGGACCTTTTTGGCAGTAATGTTTTGGTGGATCAGAGAAGGTTTGTTTGCTTTGTACCCATGCAAATATGCTATACCTGCTCGGGAAATGAACAAAGCTTGGTAAAACTGAATCAAAAGAATTTTCCCATTGAAAATCCAATATGAAAAGAAAATATGATAAAAGAATGCAACTCTATTCAACTTTTTTTCTAGTCATAATTTTCTGTTATATGACATGATAGCATGTAAAAGGGAGAGAACTTCTGGACAATGAATCATTAGCTAAGCCTTTGAGTTCAAAAATCAGAGACCATGAAGTGCAAATAACCTCCTCAGGACTCATTCAGGGGTCCATGAAGGATTAGAAAACAAAGTGGAAATGAAATATAGTTCATTTCTAATCTGTTCTTTCTAGAATCTTCATACAACATTTTGATTATCATTCCTTCATAATGATTTCCAGTTAACCATCCTAGTGTAATTTAATTTATTAATCCTTTCCGTGATTTCTCACACATTTGAAACTCCAAACCTTCAAAAGTGACATAAAAAATTCGGATATGTTGAGTCACAAATAACCATACAAGGAAATGCTAACCTTTGGCGATACCCCTGACAATCGAAACTCTGGAGGACCACTCAAGCACATGGCCATCCCCATCCTTCACATCAAGATACCTCAGCAAGTTACCATTGGGAACAAAATCATAAATGAGAAAGCACTCTCCTCGGCCCTTTGAACAGCAGAATCCTCTCAACCTCACTAAGTTCTCATGCCTCAGTGATGTCAAAGTATTCAACCCCTTCAAGAACTCAGCTTCCTCCGACTTGCAGCTGCTTTTACTAATGCTCTTGATAGCAACAGTAGACCCATCTCTTAAAATTCCTCGGTATGTTGCAGAAAAGTTACTTTTACCCAACAAATTTACCTCAGAGAAGTACTGTGTAGCAGTCTCCACCTCTTCCAAGTTGAACCTGAAGCTCTGAAAGGCATCTTGTGCATTCCCACTTAAATTCCTGCCATCAGCTAAAGGGTCCCATCCATTAGGATACTCAAGACTGATTAGAGGAGAGCCATTATTCCTGTAAACCCCCTTTGCCTGGTCAGTACTTAGGCGGCTATCAGAAATTTCATATGAGCTAGCAAGCTTCTGTTTCCGGCGGCGATACTGAGTAAATGCCAGAATTCCTATGGCCACCAGTAAAATAGTTACAACAACTGTGACAACAGCAGCCGATGCGTGATGAGACTTGGATGGGTTTGAACACCGAGTTTGGTTGCAAGGCAACCGCAAATTTGCTGTTTCTGGGATCTCTCTTGGCAGGCCATTTACACCTGTTCCAAAGGGTTCTGGTCCTCTTGGATTAAGACCCGAAGCATTGCAAGCCCTCAAAGACATAAACCCAGCTCCACATAATCCCGTGTTATTTCCATACAAGAATCCATCATTCAATCTCTTTAGAGCTGCATCAAATAGGTAATCACAACATCCAATCAGATTTTGGTCATTTCCAACAAATCAAACCAGTCAATAACCAGAAAAGAACACACAAAAAAAAAAAAAAAAAAAGCAGTGTTATTGATAAAGATTAATACCTAGAGGAACATTGCCAGAGAGTTTGTTATTTCGTATATCTAGAAATTCAAGCAGAGGAGCATCAGCTACTTTTGTTGGAATCGAACCAAAGAAGTGATTGTAGCTCAAATCTAGCCTCATTAACACCCCCAAATCCCCTAAACTCGCAGGGATTGCTCCACTGAGATGATTTCCCTGCAAAGCAAGAACAGTAAGCTTCTCCAAAGACCCCAGCTCAGTAGGTATACCTCCTGTGAACTTGTTATAACAGAGCTGCAAAACTACAAAGACAACACAAAACATAGATAAGCAAAGATACTGTTGATAAGACAAACGATCATTATCCAATAGAAGACAACATAAAATGATCAGCAAGTTTTGATATTTTGCTAAAAGAAACATGTTAGCGTAGTTGCAGAAGCCAACACATAATCAATCAATACGTTCAAGCTTTTCAGGAACCCATATGAGTGAACTTGCAGAAGCATAAACGTATAAGAAAATCCCAGCTTTTGGAGTTATAGAGAAGGGGAAATTAAAAATGGAACTTTTCCTGTAAATAAGCTCTAAATCAGATATTTTAAAAAACAAAATAAATAAATAAATAACGCAAAAAACAGAAATTTGAATCTTAAATTCACATGGGTTTTGATTTCCAAAAAAAAAAAAAAAACAAAGAGCATTCCACAAAAGTTTATGACAAGGATAGATGCATGAGGAAACATGAAGAGGCATTATTATCTATCCATCTTTCCTTTTTGTGTTTCTTGAAACATCTTCGAAACCTTATAATCTACCTATTTTCAGTGTGAGGGAAAGAAAATCAATATCATAGAAAGAGACGGATAGTAACAAAACAGATTATTATAAAGAGATAATGACATTTAGGAACAAAACATAACAAATAACTTTCAAAATTTTCAAACAAGAGAGTAACTAAGCAGGCCTTTTTCAAAGAAAATTTAGCTAAATACATAACGAAGCTCGAGTCTTTCCACAAAATAAACTAACTAACCTTGCAAATTGGCCATTTTTCCAATCTCAGGAGGTATCTCCCCAGACAGATTATTCACATTCAAATACAAATCACTTAGCTCAGTCAAGTTAGCTATTTCTCTTGGTACCTCTCCATACAAAGAATTATAATGCAGGTATAAACCAGTCAAGTGCTTTAACCCAGCAATAGCAGGAGACACCTTCCCATAAAGCCCTTTTCCTTGCAATGAAATATTAGCCACTTGACCTTTCTCATTGCAAGCAACACCTTCAAATGAACCAGCACATGGCCTACCATCAATGGTCCATGAAGTGAGGTGCCTGCCTTGTGGGTCTAAAGAAGCTTTCATATCCATGAGTACGCTAATCTCAGTATTTCCAAGAACCCATTTTTCTCTCGACAAGAATAGAGAGACAGCTAGGAGAAAAACAGCAAAACCCATTTCTTGATCTTTTCTAGCTCAAAATGTTAGAAGAAGACCTTCTTTAACAGTGGTTTTGGACCTTTGGCCTGGTTTTGAGACCTCTCTTTCTTTTGTTTCTTTACTTTGACTGTTTGTGTTTGTTTTTACATTGCAAGAAAGCAAAAGTGACAGACTTCTCTCTCAAACACACAAACTCTTTGGCATTTGAGTTTTATATTATTCTGTTTCAGTGTCTTGGGCATGGCAAAGAAGAGACAAAGGTGGCAGGGCTATCCATGCCTATTTAGTGGAAGAGCGTATGGGAAAACTACAAAAGAGAGGAGATTCTGTGATTTTGATTTCTGGCCGCTGATTGTTTGACTTTTTTGAATGAGCATGGGATTTTATAGAGGCTCAGTTGCATCCTAGTTCAGTTTGAGGAATGAGAGATTGTGATTGGCAATCGGTCACAGGTGTGCTCTTCAGTCCTTTCTGCTGGTCAAGATTTTGGCACCAGAGAAGGATACAGTAATCTTTTTGCTGGCGGGACTAGTAATAGAAGTTTTCTTTGAAAAATATAAACTTTTTTTTATGCAGCAAGAAAAGCAATTTGCATCAAGAAAAAAATTATTATAAAGTTTATCTTTTAACTCTCAAATCCCAATTTAGAGTTATTACAAGTTTTCATGTGTATATATATATATATATATATATATATATATATATATATATATATATAAGTAATAGAATATTTTTATATTAATTGAGATTAAATTTATTATTTTTTGGATTAAATTAATTTCAAATCACGTCTAGACTTCAATCAATCACTGAGCTGTTATGTAGGTCAAACTAGTCTAAATCTAATACTGTTAAAAAATTATTATAATTAATTATTCATAAATAATAAAAATTAAAAATTAATCAAATTAAAACAAATCATTTATTACTAGAACATATTTTTGGTATTGGATTTATGTCCTTGAGCCAATTTTTGTTTTTATTTTTGTTTAGATCAAAGATATGTTGTATGTACCGATGATATTTTGAAAATTTATATATAACAATTATGTGTGAATTACGATGACTAAATTTAGGATGCTAACATTACTCATATATATCTTATTTATCGGACTAACTCTTTAAATCAGAGGAGTGTTAGATTAGTTTAGATGTTATGACTAAATATTTTCTTAAATTTAAAATAAAGTTGCAACCGAAGGGAGAAGAAAAAAGTTTTCTGACCTTTAGGATTAGAAAAAAGTAATAGGAATCTTTATTTCTTCTTGTAAATAACACTGCACATCATGTGATTACCAAGAGGCACATAAGAATCAAATTGCAAAGTGAAAACAGTAATAACATAATTATTGAAAGTAATCAACACGCATGAAAAGGAAAACAATGGAAATGATTAGCGTACATCTGAAAATGTTCGTAATAATCATGTGATCTTCGCTATGGAAATTTGCCTCCAAGAATTGAATGAAAAATGGAAAAACAGTAGCATTCGAAAAAACCTTTAGTACATTAATATTAAATGGCTAAATGTTTCAAGTATTTTTTGAATTTTAAATTTTTTGATAATCTGTTTTTTAACTTTTAATTTCAAATTGATTTTTTTATCATTTTATATTTAAAGTGAATTCTCTTATTAGATTTCGGTCAATTATAATGGCTCACGTATATATTACTTGTACTTAGTTAATTTTTAAATTTTTCTATCAATTTAAAATATGACAAAATGTTTTATTTTTCTTCCAAAATTTATATATTTCATTCTAAAATATGATTTAATTGCTATTTTTTAATATTTTTTAAAAAATAAGTTTTAAATAAAAAAACACAGAATATTCATAAGTTTTAATATTTCTTAGCTGTTAAAAAACTACATTCGTATACTACAATCGACGAAACTCTAGCAAAAATATCTAATTTTAAATAAAAAATAATTAAAAAAAGGTTAAATTCAAATTAAAAGTTAAAAAACTAATTTTTCAATAATTTAAAATCCAAAAAAAAAATCAAGTTTCATGAAAAACCTATTATTCAGCATATAATACATTCAATGATAGTAATGGTAAGCACCAACCCTACCACGTGGTAATTTATGAGTTGTCAGTTTCAGAACTGTTAAGCTCATGGTACCAGACAGCTTGCTGTCTAGCAACAGTCAACGTAGTTCAAACAAGTTCAAATTTTAAAAAGAAAAATCCTCCGTAAACAAGTCTAGAGTAAGATAAGTACACACTAAAATTTAATTGGCCTGAAATAAAAAATTGAGATTCAACCAACGGGTGCTCTAGGGTTTACATTCTTTTGATGGATGAACCCTTAGAAGATTACTAAAGAATTCAAAAAACATTGAATAGTATTTTGATTATTATTTATGATTTGTTGATTCCATTTGGGAGTAGCTTTTGTTTCTGTGTCCCTCTCATGGTGCTATGTCAGATTGCTGACAACTCTGTCTCAATGCTATTTTTTATTTTCTTAGACTTGGACCCTTCTTCTGGCAGATCTTAATTTCTTGGCTTTTTGAGATGTTTTTGCTCATTGTTTGTGATTTTGCTCTGTTTTTAGCAAATCTTCTGTCGAGCATTTAGATTTTGTTGAGAAAGCAACCAATTGAAAGTTCCTTATCAGGTGAAATTGACAAATTTTGCAGAATCTATACGGGATAAGCAGAATTTACAGGAAAAATGTTTTATTTATGTTATTTTTAGAATTATTTTTTCAACAATGAGATTTTTCGGATCAATTTTTCTCATATTTTGAAACTGATCCCTTCCTTGACGTGAATAAGGAGCACTTCTTAATTATTAAAAAGTATTTCTTAACACAAAATCTCGAATATTCTAAGAATAAATTATCAGGAATGTTGATTACAAAAATCAAATTTTGAATTTAGTCTACAAATCAACATTTATCAACCTATTGTTACATTGTGGTCAGTTATTTTTAGAATCTTATAGAGTGCTATTATTTACAATATTTGAAAAAAAAAAATAATAATAACAATTTATACGGCAAAAATAACAAAATTTCAATTGATGTAGCTGATTGGGTTACTAAAGAAGTCCAATATAGAGTTTTTTTTTTTTAGAAGTTTGTATTCAGTTCTAATTTTTCTAATATTTGTCGAAATTAATCATTTATTGATTAAATATTTTTACCAATAACTATTGTTTTGTAACAGGGTGAGTGAGCTACTGTTTCATCTCCTTTTGGTTCATGAATTCTTTCCATTTATCAAAAAAAAAAAAAAGAAGACAAAATTGGAGAACATTTTGTGATTGTGTAGCAAAATCTACATGAATGTCATGGAATTTTATAAATAGTTAGGGTTAAAAACCTCCTAATATGCCTGGTAGCTTCTGCTTTCTTGCCCATGGTACGAAACAAACAAAAGAAAGATTTATCCCAAAGGAAAAATCTTGAGAATGTAAATATTTTTGAAGAACTTCAACTGGTGCTTTACTTGTCTAGATGTGGTTAGGGGCTCTAGCCTCTTAAAACACAAAACCTTGTTCTTTTCCACTCCCAAGGAATTTATCTTGGTCCTCTCAAGGACCCCAGAAACTAAAAACCTTTCTCCCTCCCTTCCTCAATGGACTAATAGTTTGTCCAGAAAACTGTTTGCACCTCTAAAGTGGTCTTATGTTGGTCACCATGTGGAACTCATAAGATAAAAACAACATTATCTTTAAATTCCAACTTAATTTAGAACAAAAGAAAACTGTTGGTGACAAATTTTCAGGCAGAAATGAGAGAGTAGAGGCCAAAATGGATGGTCCTCATGGTAGAGTAGAGAAAATCAGAAAAGTGCTTCCTTTTTACGAAGGCAGAACGGTGCTTTCCATGCATGAACCAGATGCTTCAAGGAATAGATTCTGCCTACCTAGTGAACGAGTAAAGTAGTTCACATGATCTCATTACCACCTATAAAAAAGCCACACCCGAACTTTGTACTGTAAAAAACAAGTAAAAAAAAAACGGTGGGAAGGAAGCATCCAAAGAAAATCACGAACAGAGAGGAAAAAGAAGATTTTGCCGACGAAAGTTGGACCACAGCCCAAAAATAATGGAACTAGGACCACCCCACTCACATTTTTTGCCCTTGGGACATTATAGCCTCAATCAACTATTGAACCACAGAAAGTTACAATTACAATTACAATTACAATTACATAGGCTGCTTCATGCAAAGGACTTGTCTTGGTTTAGGTATCTTGATGAGTTCGTGAGTGACCGAGTCCTGAAATGACAACGATAACATGCAAGTCTTCTTCTGTGTGACATTTTGTGACGAGGACCACTTGCCCTAGAGAGCTTATGCAAGTACTGGGCCAACTGGCCAGTGGCCAGCTAAAGAGATGAGTTTCATTACTTGGTAGAAATGTGACTTGCTTTGCTCAAAAAGTATGCATCTTGATTCCCAATTTTTGTAGAATTTGATCATACTTGTCCCGGCAGTCTTGCACCATTTAATTTTGCAGGGACATGGACATGGACACCTCGCTCTCCCTCCTCCCAATCACTGACGAAAGATGTAGTCTAACCGTACGAGAATTGTTTTAATTTAATCAAAATTAAGATTTAATTTTCGTTATTTACGAATAATTAATTATAGTTATTTTTTAAATAGTATTGGATTTGGTTTAAAAACCAGTTTAATAGTCAATAAAAAATTAAGCTTGTTTTGATTCTGACTTAACATAGAAAGTTGTGAATTTAGTTTTGATCGACAAAAACGTTAATCCGAAAATATCTTAATATATATATATATATATATAATCGATTGATTCCTCTGACAAAGAGGGACACTTTAGGATAGTTTTGTTCAGATTGGAATATATGGGATTGCACGATATGTTATCTATCTGGTTGTAATCCACGGTACAGTTGTTTTTAACTTCACCCCATATTTGATTAATTAATCAAATTGCCATATTATATTAAAAATGGGTTGCTTTTTAGGCACGAGTAGATCTATGTCTACTTGTTTAGTCCCTGTCCATATTGGACCAATAGTGATATCGGCTATTGTGTTGGGGGGCTTGGGGCTGTGAGAATTCTTTGGCCAGAAAAGTGATAAAAAGACTTGTTCCTTGCTAGTGTTATTTTTGAAATGTTTTGGGAACTTGTCATCTGCCTTTGTAACTTTTAGCAGAACTTTCCTAATCTCTTTGCAGAAGGACAAGGTATCTCATTCTTTCAAGAAAATGGCATCATCTTACTTTTCAATTTATACTTTTATTCCATTACATGGTTTCCATCGAAACCAAGAGCATCTTCATTTTTTTTTATTCTTATTCTTAAGGTATCGCAGACCTAATGGCTCAAACTAATTTTTTACCGTTCAGTTAGACGTATAAAATAGATATAACTATCTAATGAGTTTTCTGCATATAAAAAAATTTAAGCTCGAAATCACTTGTTTAAATGATTAGAACTTCTTATATCCTAACGAAACCTCTTGGTTTGAACCTTTAATATGGAAAAAGAGATATTGAAAGTGCAACGGAGGTCAGCAAATTAACAAAGGTAAAGGAGTGGCAAAACTAGCAACTTGTGGAGAATAAAGTTGTGTGATTGATGCCAATGGCCCAGCCATGCAGAAACTTCGAGCCCACACTTTTGGGGGACTAGCATTGGTGTCATGGCCTACCGCTTAAAAAGTTCACAAAAAATGAATTATGGCACTATCTAAGTTTTAACATCACTCCATAATTATGTTTTGCAAGAAAATGGGCTGTTTCTTGACCTAAATTTGCACCAAAACTGGAATTTTCAATTACTTTCATGGAAAGTTCCGATAAGAACATTTGGAAAGCTTTAACGTCATGGTCAAGTACCTTTAGCTTAACTTTTCAGGTTCTTTCTTCTTTTGATACATTACAGTAATGGCATTGATTCTTTTTGTTGGACCTTACAATACAAGGAAGGAATTTGTTTAAGTCCTAAAAGTCCTTCATATGCCAGTTTTAGGACAAAATTTAAGTTAGGGCTTCCTTAAACCATATAAAATTGATTACCAAATTAATGAAGCAGAAAATAAACAAACTTAGGTGATTTTATATATCAAGTTCCTAAAAGTTGGAGCATAGGCACCCATCCAATCATGTGACCTAAGCCAATTGTGCTCATGGACAGCATCAAAAGGAAGAACTTTTTTAATTTACATTGAATTATTGTAGTCTAACTTTTTTAATTTATATTCAAATATCAATTTCATTTTAATTTTTCCAATTCTTATGTCTAACTAGTGAGTCTTCCAAATAATCTATCATTGTTAGATTGATATACATTTCACGATTAATATCATTAATATAGGGTTATCCCAACATCAAAGTGAAAAATACATGGGCCTCAACTCCTTTGGGCCACGTATAAATTATAAGACACCTAAAGCCCATCAAAATAAAGGGCCACATATAAATTATATGATACACAAAAAACAGGCCATGGCCCAACCCTTTAATTTCCAACAATATTTCCCTCGGGCCCATTATTGTTATCAAATATGTATAAAATGCAAAACCCTATAAATGAGGAGGCTCTAGGGTTTGCGGCGAGTTACAGGGGCAGCTAATCACAAACGCACGAGAGAGCTCCGCCTTCATCACCGTCACCATGGGTCGTATGCACAGTAAAGGGTATGCCTCATTCACTGAAACCTTATCTTTCTCACTTTATGTGGAGCTTTTCTTGGTAAAAAGCTGAACTTCACGTGATTTGTTTTGCAGTAAGGGTATTTCAGCTTCAGCTTTGCCTTACAAGAGAACCCCACCAAGCTGGCTTAAGATTTCTGCTCAAGATGTGAGTTTTTTAGCCGCAATTATGCTTTTCTATTCAATAATCAATCAGTTTCGGATATTAAAGGCTTGAGCTTTATCTTTAAGTCACTTGATTTTTGCTTTCTAGGTATTGATAAAGCATCACCTTTGTAGTTGTATTTGTTAGTTCATATAAGAGATGGGTTTTTAGTCGTTTACGCTGGTATTATTATGAAGCAAAAATATGGTAGATGTACTGTTTTAGTTAATCTTAATGGTGGATTCTTAACTAGTTTTGGTTACACAGTTTAGTTAAGTTAAAGTTGAATGTGGGTTGTGAAGTAGGATTTATTAATGCAATATGGTTTCAGGTTGAGGATAACATCTGCAAGTTTGCAAAAAAGGGTTTGACTCCATCTCAGATTGGTGTCATTCTTCGTGACTCTCATGGTATTGCTCAAGTCAGGAGTGTTACCGGAAATCAGATCTTGCGTATCCTCAAGGCTCATGGTATGTATGTCTTTGTTATTGTTGGGATTTTGTAGTTGATGCGTTTGTGTAGAGAATTTGGCTGCTTAAAAGAGATGAATTAGATGTATTAGTTCTATTTGGTCAATGAGAAATAAGCTGATTTATTAGTGAAATTGACTCCTTAGTTCTTTTGGCTTTTTTTGGCAAAGGCATTGAATAGAATCCTAAGTTTTTCATTGTTATGGCTGTACATGAATATTGTTAAATCAATCATAAGCAGAACCCCCCCCCCCCCCCGCCCCCCCTCTCCCCTTTTTTTTTTCCTAAACTTATCTTGTTTCAGCTTTTTAACTCTTGCATTCTAAGGAATTTTGAACTTGAAAATTCCTAAACCTTAAAAAATTTTAACTTATCTTGGTTCAGCTTTTCAACTCTTGCATTCTAAGGAATTTTGCTGATGAAACATCTTGACAGCAAGTGAGTAAAGCTCTTATTGAGCCTCTTTTTTTGTGTTTTGATTGTTATGATGATATTTGTTTGTTTAGGTCTTGCTCCTGAAATTCCTGAGGATTTGTACCACCTCATCAAGAAGGCTGTTGCCATCAGGAAGCATTTGGAAAGGAACAGGAAGGATAAGGATTCCAAGTTCAGGTTGATTCTTGTTGAGAGCAGGATTCACAGGCTTGCTCGCTACTACAAGAAGACAAAGAAGCTTCCTCCTGTCTGGAAATAGTAAGCCCGCCTGCATTTCACTACCTATTTTCCAGATTTTGCAAATTGCTTATCATGAATTTACCATTGTTTGTCAATGGTAGTTTGTTCAATCTTCATACAAATCGCTTGATGTTTAGTATATGCTAATATGGTATTGTATTTATTTGAAGAAACTTGTTTAATATGGTATTGTAATCTTTCTTTCTGAGGCTTAGTTCTTCATCTATGATCTCATTTAATACCTTACCCCATTTCTTATAGTTTCAATAAGATTAGGACGTGCCCATGATTCAAATGGAAATGGGGAATTAATATTCTGCACCCCATCTTTTTACCAACTTTAATCAAAATATCAAGCTTTGTCAGTAGGGTTTTTCTTGTCAGAAATAATGATGTATGCCTATCCATATCTTAATTGTATTATACTCTGTTTCTGTCTTGCAGCGAGTCAACTACTGCTAGCACTCTGGTGGCTTAGGCTAGTTATGTTATGCGGCACAGTGTTGGGACATCTTGCATAGATGTTCTTATCCAGCGGGACTTTGTCATAGTTCATAAGCATTAGCAAATCTTGTTTACGGAGGAAGAGGGGATGGAGTGGATCCTAAAACTTCCTTTTTTCTTTAAATGTTTGTTTGGCTTTGAGCTTTTGTACTCCATTTAACTCATTAGTATATTGTGTTTTGAGCTATAATATTTTTAACTTTGATCATATAATTCTTGTCAAGTGGATTTAGGAAACAATTTATGTGCTCATAATTTGATATCTCAATCCCGTCTGCTGCGATTTAAGCTGGTAATGTTGGCAGATTGCTACATCTTGCCAGCTGCATGATGTAGAAGAGCTTTCTGCCCAGACATGTTGGGCAGTTGTTGGGATTGAGATGGTATATTGCGTTTATTAACATGAGCCTGGCGTTCTCTGAGATGCGATTGCCCATTTTAAGTTCTGGTGGTAATGGTTTGCTTCAACTGCCTAGTCAGGTGCCACTGGTTGGCACCCAAGTCTTTTCGTCATACTGTGTGTGGTTGAAGCTTATTGCCAGCTGATAGTAATCTAGTTCAATGATTTCAAATTTGTTGTCATTTATAAAGCAATATGCTGGAATTTGGAAACAACTATTACTTTCGAGGTTTCTGAGTTGATCTGATAATCACAGTATAACAGGGAAAATCTGATAATGATCAACATTTGATATCCTATCATAACAGTAGTCTTTGTTGGAAGGGAATGTCAGTAGCATTACAGAGTTGTTTTATTTCAATACCTTCATTTTCATGGATATTTTTGAGATCGCCATTTTTATTGTCAAGCCAAGCAACTTGGTAGTAAATTTGAAAACAGTCTAAAACTTTACTCCATCATCACTGCTTGAAATGAAGACAGGCGAGCAAGACATGGAATGGCAGTTTTTAGCCAACGACAGGCGGGGTGGAAGTGATGTTTCTGTTTAGCAGAACCTTAATCAAAATATCAAATTTTGTCAGTAGGGTTTTCTCTTTCCAGGAATATATTAGGTATGCCTATCCATTTCAAAATTGTATTAGTAGTAGCGTTTGTTGAATTAACAGAGTTTTTATCAAGAACGTTAGAAACTGTTGCTATTCACAAATTTAAAATATTACAGTTTTTTTTTCTTTATATGTAAATGGAAAAGCTCCATAATAAATACTTCAACTTTGATTTTTTTTTCAGTCAAGTTATTAATTTTTATTTTTTTCGTTTCAGTATATCAATTTTTTTAAAAACGTCAATTAAATTTTTTCATTCAATTTTTCATCTAATGATGATGTGGTACTTAATAAAGAAGACTAAACAAGTATGTTGTCCTTTTTTTTTCCTTCTCCTCCCAAATTATTATTATTGTTTAATTATTAATTAAAAAAACAGAAAGCAAAGCAGCTTAATTATATATATATATATAGTTTTCTCTGTTAACTACTACATCATCACTAAACAAAAAATTAGACAAAAAAAACTTGATTGGTACTTTCAAAAAAATTGATGTAGTAAAACAAAAAATAAATAAATAAAAAATAATATACTCGATTGGAAAAATATTCAAAATTAATGTTCTTATTACATAGTTTTCTGTAAATATATATACTGCATTTGCTTGGAATTTGTTTGAGATATCATCGATCTAAGCAACTTGATAATAAATTTGAAAACATTCCCATCTTTTCTCCACAATCACAAACTTCAAAGGAAGACAGGCCAAATATTGTTGGGTAAAAAGAAAAAAGAAAAGAAAATAACCATCTTCCTTGGGCTTTAATCACTCAAGGTGAAGGATCCACCAAAGCCCATTACTAATATACCCTCTGATAAAATAAAACCCAAAAAGCAAAACCTCCATAAAACCCTAGGAAAAACAGAAACCTTGACAACTAGAAATCAAACCCAGACAAGAACAAACAGAAAAACATAGAAAGATGGCACCAGGTCTAAGACAATTCACCGAGAGAAGAGGAGACGTTGCTGGAGAACCAGTTCTTGACACCGAAAATGGCGAGGAGCTTAGGCATGTGCAAGCTGGAGTCTCCATTGCCATCGGCAACCGGTCCCCTGAATCTCCAGGCACTCTCTACATCTCCACAAAGTAAATAAATAATACCAACCCATTGCTTTTTTTCCATTTTTTGCTCTGAAATTTCGTTTCTTTTTTGAGTTTATGATGTTTTTATAGTATAAATTGTAGTGGGTTTGTGTTATTTTTATTGCAGGAAAGTTGTGTGGTTAAGTGATGTAGACAGGACAAAAGGTTATGCAGTTGATTTCTTGTCTATTTCACTTCATGCTGTTTCAAGAGATCCCGAGGCTTACTCTTCTCCTTGTATCTATACTCAAGTAAGTTTTTGTGCTCTTCTTTTGAATTAGACTATAAGGTTTTCGAGTAGTAAGTTTCGTCATATTCATGGTACTGATGAAACAATTATACGTTGGATTGTATTTAAATTTAATTGAAATTAAAAGTGATTTAATGTAACTATGGGGTCTCTGTATTGATCTTTTGTAACGTATATATTGTATGCAGATATTTTAAAATAATATTTCTCTATCTTTGATAGATAATGTAAGGCTATAAGGTTTTGGGTGTTTTATTCATAAATATTATGATACTAAAAGTGAAGTTAGTTTAGAGGGGATTGAGTGGTGGATGGTAGCTGAGTTTTTTTGTTAAGGTTGAGTTTGGAAAGGTAATTGTTTAATTTTTTATCTTCTTTTTTACTGTTGATAATTAGTTTTGTTTGTAGATATATTGATAGGAAAAAACTATGGGGCCATGAATTTGCATTCGACTGTTGAATTAAGCATGTAACTGCTGGGCTTTCCGAACATTATTATTTTGTCTGCTGCCATATGGTGGTATCTCAAGTAGTTACTTTCTGTTAGCTAATCAGTGCATGGTGTTCCTGATTAATGTTGTTCTGTTTGAAGATTGAGACTGGAGAGGATGAAGAGGAGTCAGAAGGCTCGGATTCAGAATGTAGTGATGCTTTAGACTTGTCAAAAGTCACGGAAATGAGGCTTGTTCCTTCAGACCCAAGCCAATGTATTCATTCACTCCTTTTCTAATGGATTTATCATATTCAATATTCATTTCATGATACTGCTTTACTTATTCTCGCATCACGTTTGGTATGGGTTTGATGATTGAAGACTAAATACTTTCTGTCTTCTTTCATTTGTAGTGGATTCTTTGTTTCGGATATTCTGTGAGTGCGCTGAGCTAAATCCTGAACCAATTGAAGGTGGGAGCTGTCTCCTTTGCTGCACAATTGTTTTAAATGGACGATTTCTATCTTGATTTAGCTTTTCAGTGTTTGCTATTATTTTCCACTAAATTGATGCAGATTCATGTGTTTGATAATGTTTATTTAGATGCTGAAGAAGAACACAATTGGATCTTTAGTGCTGATCAATTGACAGATGAAACTGCTGGTATGGGATAGAGCAATTAGCATCTGTCCCTTCTGAAAAATAGTTTCATTTCAAGTATACTGACCTTACATTTTGTAACATTTTTTTGTTTATGCAGAAGGGGATTCTGAATGGAATTTCTCTCAAAATCCAACAAGTTCAATTGGTCATTCCAATGGGGATCATGACCTAGCTCGTACAGTGCTTCAGGTAGGCCAGTGAATGGTTCACTTTAACATGCACTTTAAACGCCATATTGATGTTGACTATTGGCATCACAATTGTGGATGTATTAAACATCAATATGGTTCTTAAAGTGCATTTTAAAATGACGAGATCTTTGTTTGGATTTTCTTTCATTCTTTTCAACATTTGCTCTTTAGATGGTTAGACTTGACAGCTTGTTAAATATTCGTCCAAATTATGATGACACTTTTTTTCAGTATTTCTGTGTTATTTTGTACAATGTAAACGTTTAATATTTTGGTATGTTCATGGTGACTGTTTGTGTGCTTGTGTTGAAAATGGGAAATTTGGATTGTCTCTAGTTCTAGTTTGTGCTACTTTTTAACTCTCTCGTTAGCTTCTTTTGGATCTTGATTATCTTGTAGTGTTGATGTAATGATGTATTTGCAGCTCCAAATCAATGATCATCGGTTTGAAGATGCAGAGGAGATGGAAGATGAACGTGACAGTGATGGTGGCCATCAGTGAGCTTTCCTTTGTTAAACATCCAGTAGTAGTGTATCTGTGCGCAATTTCCGCGTCCATCCCCCGAAATTTGCTGCATATGTAAATTTTTGTTATCTCTAAAAATTCAATGATTGGCTGGAGAGTGGGAGGATTGTTGTCCTTTCCTGTAACTTACCTTCAAACATTATGTGGCGTACTGTCAGACTTTAATCCCCATGAAATTACAAGGGGGTTAATGCGTTAAATCTGTTATTATTGGCAGATTTGTATTTAAAAATCACTGGTAATTTCCTATTGTGGCTTTTGCCAGGGGAGATACCAGTCATGCCTAGTTTCTAGGGGCATAGCTTTCTCTTGTTTGTGTCAAAGGGCAAAGGTTAGAGTTTATTGCAGTCCAGCAGTGGCATGGTGGATCGCTTGTTCTGGGGCTCAAGTTTCTATGGCAGTGGTCAATGTGGTTGCGAACGAAATGTACTGACAACATTTACTCTTGATGAACTCTTAGGTTGCAAGTGGAAAATGAGATTCTAGCCTAGAAAACTGGATGGAGAAATCAAATCTCTTGATATGCAGTCATAAGCAGCCTTATGGTTGCAGTTTAAATGAATCTACGCTTCCAAGTGGGTTGTGGCTCAACTACGATGATTAGCTTTTTTTCAATTTTCTGCTTACTAATGGGATTAGCAAACCTGTGATCAGAAAGAAAAGGAGTGGTATCATATAATGATAACAGGATGTTTAGAAACTTTTACATGACTATCATTATATATCGTAATGGTCATTATTTAAAACTACGAATGGTCTTCTTCCTGCACTCCTTTGTGTCCGACACTTCACCTGGCTTATTCCCTTTAGCTTCATCATTCTTGCATTGCTCCGGATTTAATTTATTTGCCTATGTCAGAAATATTTTTTCAATCTTACAGGCAGTTGCTGGAACTGCGCTGCCATACCCTTAAACATCAGATAATATGGATTGGCATCCACTAGGAATCACAATATGGCTGTCACCAGACACCAAATTAATCATCAGGTAGGATTCACTCGTCACGCAAATAAAGTGCATGAGTTCAAACTCCAAACTCCAGTCTGTGAAGTCCCTTTTGATCTCATCTGCGAGAAACCATGGTTCGTAGTAACGTTTTTATACATGGAACATTGGGGTGCTGCAAATCCCACAAGCCTGCTGAATAATTCTTTCTTCAAAGATAAATCAAAGAAAGTAGACAGTCCAAGGCCAAAAGTGTTAGTCTAGCTAACGCCTAAACAGTAACAGGTGTTAGATATCAACACACGCACCTATGCTCTTAACAATTTCATTGCTTTGCAAGAAAAAAATAGCCATAATATCAGTACCAAATCTACTTTAAACTTCCAATACAAGATGGCCAAAAACTAAACATCCGAGACTTTGAACTTAAAACCACATGCAAGCATCTCCTAGGGAGTTGATTCTCTCTCTTTTTGAAGACATGTCGCTAAATTTCTTAATCTTAAAAGTGAAAAATTCAAAATATAATAATTCTAAAATTAATCTTGCAAGAAATATACAGAGAAAACTTTGAAATCATAAAGTTTCATACCAAAATAACAAGGAAACAAAATTCAATATCCGTTACCAAATCTTTAAACATCGTCCGATAAAAACGATCCTGAGTGTTCTAGTAAACTAAATTAAAAAACAACAGCCCAAGAGAAATAAATAGCATCTCTCTAATCGGCGATGGTAACTTCGACCTCAACACCAGGTTCAATTGTAATAGAGGTAATCTGCTTGACAACATCAGCAGAACTGAAGAGATCAATAACACGCTTGTGGACTCGAAGCTCAAATCTGTCAAATGTGTTGGTTCCTGCAAGCAGATGAGAAAAAATTAGCACAATAGAAATGGGGGCAACCATTTCTATCACATGCATACAAAGAAAAGGTTCTGAGGCAAACATCAATTTGGACATTCCTCTGTGACCATCAGTCGGAATACGGTAAAGAAAATTATGAATTTCTCGCTCATTCCAGAACCAACTAGCATGGTCTAACAGATACACCCAATCTCTTATGCTCAGACAAAAACACCAAGAAAATTAAATAGGTAACATTTTAATTAGTAGTCCCTTTTTTCCCAGCATTAACCAATTAATGCTACTGGATAAGACTGAACAGAGCACACGAGCCTACATATGATTACTGAGTAGGCCTAAGGTTACCAAACAACAGAGATTGTCTATAAAGAACAGTGATGTTTTTCTACCCTGTCTAAATCTCACACTCAAACTACTATTACCAAATCAACCGTTCAACCATTACCCAAAAAACAAGAAAAGAAAATCAATATCCTGAAGGTTTTACATGGATGTGTAAATAGCGCATGAAGAGAAGAATAAAGTGAAATGCCAGACACTGCACATTAATCCAACCATGATTAGCCAGATAAATACCTTCACCACAAGGGGATTTTCTGGTGGTGATGTTAAGAACCTTGGTAGGGATTCTCACTGGTCCCTTAACCCTCAGTCTCTTATCCTTGGCACCACGAACCAAGTCAGTGCAAACTATCAATAAAAAAAAACAGAGAATCAGAACAACAGAAAGATACAACTCAAAATAACAAAATAGGATTTCAAGAACAGACCTTTCTCAAGGTTTTTGACATTCTTCGAGGAGAGGGTGATCCTGATCTTATGGATCTGGTCCTGGGTTTCCTCTAAACCCGGCTTTTGTGCCTTCATAGCTCCATAAACTGCTGCTGCCGCCATTTTCTCCTTCTACTTTTCTATCACATAAACAAAACAAACCATAAAACACAGAATTTCGACCTAAAGTTTCCGATTCTCTAGACTTCATAACTAGCATTAGCAGATTTCAACTTATAACTAAAATTATCTAAAGAGAGCATCAACACAAACCTGAGAGGAATTGGAGAAACAGGGACGATTTTCTGCTTGGAGCGAGGGGGCGATAGATGAAAATGAGAGAGCAAACCTCGGGTTAGGGTTATAGTGTGAGATATATATATATCTATGGCTGCGCGTGTTTAGTATAAGACTATTGGGTTTTTCTGTTATTAATATAAATAGTGGGCCGGGTCAGGGCTAAAGTTAACCGTTTTCTTTTTAGTGCCTTTTAGACCCATTAAATTGGCCCATTGAGTTATTGTTATTATTGTTGTTGTTAATATTATTATTATTGCCCTTTGATTTATTTAAATTAGCAAGAGTGGTTTCATCAGTAAATTTAAATGGATTTTGGATATATCGAGACATTGTACAATTCAAAATTTTTTATTGAGACCTTGAGTTTTTTTATTTGTTCAATTTAAAAGGTCTACTCTTATATTATTGTTTTAGACCTTAATATGTCACGTAAGCACACGTGGCAAGCTATTAAACTCTAGCCAATAATAGCTTGCCACTGTCATGGTGGGGGCCAAATTGGGCTTTACCAAAGATAAAAAAAATATTGATGAATTTTAAATAACTAAACAAACGATAAACCAAAAAATAGATTAGGAAAATACAATTCAACCTTTATCAACTAAAATTAAAAATTCCTTTCTCTCTCCTATTCATTTCAGTTTTTTTTTTTTTTCTCTTCCCTCCTTCGATCTATAATCAAAAGTGACATTTTCTAATTTTCAAATTTCAAACCCTTATACCTAATTTTCAATTTCCTAATTACAAACTCTATTCTCCACTTCTCCTTTAACGAGTTCTACAATAATAGAACCAAAGTCTAAAGCGAGTTGAATTGGATCTCATTCAACCTCAACATTACCTGGTCCAATGAGGTCCAATACCACTATCATCAACCTTCAATGAAAGAGACAAATCTAAACAAAAAAATTGAACACAAATACACAAACACTAATAGTTTTTACAAATAAAAATATTAACCTTCTTATTCTTGGGATTCTCAAAACATATAAATGTATTATGTCCTTTCCTAAAACAAATTTTATAAGTTATCCTCCTTCCTCTTATTAACATTTTAGTTCCACGTAATGATTCTCATGATTCTAAATGTCTCTTTTTTTTCCTCGCGAGTTATTTTACTATCTTTGGAGGTATCTCTGCTTTTGATATCTTAGGCCAATATTTTTCACCATTTATTTGCTCAATTGACTTTTGGTATGCAGATAAAAACATGTTCTTAGAATATGAATGGATAAGATAACTATCAAAATCCTATTTTCTAGCTACATAAACAACTATAGCATGTGGGCATGGTATACCATTCATCTTAAACAACTTACATGTGCATGTTTTCCTCTCCATTTGCACTATATATTTATCATTAAGATTGTATATGTTTATGGCCTCATATCCATCATCACCGTTATGCAATACTCTACACTTTGAACTTAGATCTCAAAATTCTTCTATCTTTTCTCAAATCTTAAGCCCAAAATTCCCCTTATAACTAAATACAAACAATCTCTTAAGAACAGTTCTTTTCGAATAAGAATCCTAACCTCCTCCAACAAAGACACAATACTTTTGTGTCTTACTTGTAAAATAAATTCATTCCGTATTTTACACAAGTTATTGTTAACTACATACGATTTAACATATGTTTGAAAGTAAGCCTTATACCATTTTTGTGTACACTCTTTCATGAAATCTTCAAGTGTTGCCTTACTATACTTCCCCAATCGCTTAAGATTTTCCTCCAAATCCGTATGGTACTTGATTTAACATATACCCAAAATTACTTCTCAACATCCTCACCATTATGTATCTTCCTTCATTTAGCAAAAATATGTCTAGCACACCACCTATGATCTACTCTAGTGTACTAGATCCTCTAAAGCAACTTATGATCCATGTACATATAAACAATTAATTAGATTAGGAAAACTAACTAAAATTAAAGAAATGCCAATAAACAATGTATATTTACTAACCTTTTACCTATATGTTGTGAAATTTCATCTATGTCCATTTTCATATGGAATCCCAACATCTTATATCAAAAGTTGGATGAACCAAATCCAGCTTATCTTTATTTTTCCACTTCACAACGATTCAAGCACTAAGGACACATTTGATTATTTGCATTCTTGCCAATAGTTGACAATCATTTCCCTTTTGATGGACCCCTAAAAAATGCACCATCTAAACCTATAATTGGCATGCACGTTATCTTAAAGCCTTCTTTTATAGCATGAAAACACACATATTTTTTAAAACATGTTTAAACCATCCTCATCCTCTTATGTTTTAAGCATGACAAGTATTGTTTACATCTTCTCAACTTAGTTGCATAATTTTCAAACTTCCTAAACTCATCTTTTATATTTTCAAAATAAATCGATTGCATCAAATGTTAGTGTTAGTGCTAAGGTCTAACTCTGGTTTGAATGATTTAACTTATTGTAATGTTGTATTCTTTATTTTATTAATAAAAAGAAGTCTTTTTATTAATTTTTATTGTTTATATTTTGATAAAATTAGATAGAAGTTCATGCGAATGCTATACTCATGCTATAATATAGTAGTAGGAGATGTCATACATATTGACAAAATGATGCTAAAGCAAGCACCTGTGTGATTAATGTTAGAGAATGTATCACTGGACTTGACTCGTCACAAGAAACTATTTGATTTAGTCTATAGGAATCTCGTACGAGATAGGTATAACCGATCCTTTAA